CCTCGCGCACGACAGTAGGCACTCAGGAGGCCAGAGGAGAACTCTCCGCCTCTGTCCGAGTGCAGACGTAAAACAGGGAAGTCAGAGCCAAAGCTCCTCCGAAGCTGGAGACGAGCTGCGCGGATCCAGTCGATCAACACCTCAGTGACCTCACCCTTGCTGCGCAAGGGGAAGACTGTGGTGTAACGCGAGTAGTCGTCAACCACCAGCAGGAAGTAGCGCTCCTGACCCTGTCCACGGACGCGGGCTGGGCCCCACACGTCCATGTGAAGCGTCTGCAACGGGGCCTCTGTCGGAGGAAACTGGGAGGAGTGAGGGGCAGCACGCTGGCGCCCCTCGACACAGGGGACACAGGTGGGGCCAGGGCCCGGAGGAAGGGGAGGGAGAGACCGGGGAAGACCAGACACAAGGACTCGCGAGGCCATGCCTCTGAGCCGAAGCAGAGAGGGGTGGCCAAGGCGGTGGTGCCAGAGGAGGGTCTCGTCAGACAGACGACGACACGAGCAGGGGGCAGACTCAGGACCAGACCTGGACGCTGCAGCAAACACCTGACCAGACGAAGGGACCCTACCAGACTCAGCACCTGGAGGAGAAGCAGTGGTCAGTGTGTAGAGGCTCGACCCTGGCCGACGTGTAAACGTAGCCAGGTGGCGACCTGTATCCGCCTCCGTGCAGTGGGTCACCCGCTGACGAGCAGGGGTGAACTGGTGGACACCCGCATCCTGGAGGTCAGCACCACTCACCAAGTTCGTCGAGAACGAGGGGAGGTAGAGACCAGTCAGGGTGCCAGAGGGGGCCGCCGGACACGGGAGGACAGTGGAGAAGCGAGACAGGACAGGCCCCCCAGAGGGGTCAGCCAGGGACACCGCAACCGGCCGACTCAGCGGAGTGAGAGTGGTGCGGTCCCTAAAGAAGGAGCGAGACGCTCCAGAGTCAAGGGTGAAGGTGTGAGAGGCCAAAGCCGACACAGTACCTGAGAGGGCAGACTCACCAGTACCTGAGAGCACAGACGCACTGGCACCTAGAGCAGCAGCCTCACTAGTACCTGACGCGGCAGTACCAATGCCCGGGTCGGGCGGGAAACACCGGTAACAGTCATCCTCATCACTACCAGTCACAGCATACATAGCAGAGAGAATAGCATCAAAATCACGATCATAAATAGCTACACCAGCCCTAGACAGCTCTCCCCAGCGGGGGATCTCAGCGGCCTCCAGAAACTGCTGACGCCAGGCGTCGGTCAGGCGGCCAAAGCAGCGGCGGGCTGTGTGGGCGCCTCCACACCTCTCCCCTGCACGGTCACGTGTGCGAAGAACGTAGGGGCAGGGACCAAGCGCACCACCACGCTGACGCTGCAAGTACCACTCACGGAGCTGCTGAGGGCCGGGGACGGTGCGAGAGCGCTGCTGCTGCTGTGGCTGCTGCTGCGGGTGCTGCTGCTGCTGCTGCTGCTGCTGGCGCTGACCACCCCCAGAGCTGCTCCGCTGGGACGAGCCACTCCGACCCCCGCCTCCACCGCCACCCCCGCCTCCACCGCCACCCCCGTCTCCACCGCCACCTCCCCCACCAGGACCGTCGCTCCCACCGCTCCCACCGCCTCCTCCGCTACCACCTCCGCCGCCACCTCCGCCTCCACCGCCGCCACCAGTACCTCCACTCCCGCCACCACCCCCACCGCCACCCCCACTCCCCCCGCCACCCCCACCGCCTCCTCCACCGCCCCCTCTAGCTCCACCCGCTCCCTTGCCCCCTTTGCCCTTGCCAGAGCGGCGTCTGCCGCTGGGGGCAGACGCCGCGCCGACCGACTCAAAACCAGTGAGGTCGGCCGCAGCGGCAGAGGCGACAGAGGGCAGCAAGGGGGAAGGACCACACCCCTCAAAGATGGGGGTGCGAGGGTCACCCCGAGAGGCCCCTACAGCGACAATACTCTTCTCAGCCGCTAGCAGGGACTCCTCAAGGAGATCGACAGTGAGAGTGGTGGGACAGACAGAGAGAAACTGGTCCCTAACGGCACGAAGGGACTCAGGGAGACGGGTGACGAGAAAGTAGAGAGTGATGTACATGGGAGGAGGGTTCGCAGCGCGGAACTCAGCAGGAAGGGCAGCGCGGTAGCGGGTGTCACTAGCACGGAGGTGGGTAACGAGGTCAGCAACAGTGGGAAAGGAGGCGAGGTCAGGGAAGAGAAACGGTAGCATGAGGCGGCTAAGGGTAGCGGAGGAAGGGGAGGAGTAGCGTGCAACTACAGCGTCGTACAAGGCCTGAGCGGTCTTGCACTGACTAAAGTGGGCACGCTCAGAGGAAGGGAGGTGGCGACGCACAGCAAGACGTGCAGCAGCATCGCGGGTCGCCCACTTGGAGCGAACGGCAGAGTCAGCATCAGCAGGTGGGGCAGGGACAGCGCCAGAGATAAAGTCAAAGAGAGAGACCTCATCTATCGCATCACATAGTAAGTACAGCTGCAGGTCTTCAATCCAGACGGCAAAGTCAATGGCCCTCCCCTCAGCGTCAAAAGTAAGGACATTGGGGGTGGCCATGGCAGCAGCTGAAAGTCTCACCGGGCTGGGAGAGTCGGGTAGTGCAGCAGCAGAGGAACACAGCTCAGGAACAGCGGCACGGCTCGGGCGGCTTGGGTTGCTGGGGCGGCGCGGGCGGCTCGGGCGGCTCGGGCGGCTCGGGCGGCTCGGGCGGCTGGGGCGGCTCGGGCGGCTCGTGCGGCTCGGGCGGCTCGGGCGGCTCGGGCGGCTCGGGCGGCTCGGGTTGCTGGGGCGGCGCGGGCGGCTCGGGCGGCTCGGGCGGCTCGGGCTGCTGGGCTGTACGGGCGGCTCGTGCGGCGCTGGTGTCGCGACGGGCGGCTCACTGGCGGCTCGCGGGCGGCTGCACAGGCGGCTCAGGGACGGCGGCGCGGGCGGCTCAGGGAGCTCACGGGTGGCTGCGACGGGCGGCTCGCGGGCGTCGGGCGCTAGGGCGTTGGGGCGACGGCGGGCGGCGCTCAGGCGTTCGGGCGGGCGGCCGTAAGGGTGAAAGGGCGGGCGGCGCTCGGGCGCTAGGGCGGGCGGCCGGCCGTCAGGGCGCTCGGGCGAGTGGCGCACGGGCGCTAGGGCGGGCGGCCGTCAGGGCGCTAGGGCGAGCGGCGCTCGGGCGCTAGGGCGGGCGGCCGTCAGGGCTCTAGGGCGGGCGGCGCTCGGGCGCTAGGGCGGGCGGCGCTCGGGCGCTAGGGCGGGCGGCGCTCGGGCGCTGGGGCGGGCGGCCGTCAGGGCGCTAGGGCGGGCGGCCGTCAGGGCGCTAGGGCGGGTGGCGCTCGGGCGCTAGGGCGGACGGCCGTCAGGGCGCTAGGGCGGGCGGCCGTCAGGGCGCTAGGGCGGGCGGCCGTTAGGGCACTAGGGCGGGCGGCCGTAAGAGGAGGGAGCAGCGGGAGCGCGACGGTAGGGGCGACACGCAGGGTCGCTAAAAAAAAAAGAACGCGCGCCTCGGGGCGCGCTTCGGTGGGCCCTAGGAACAGTCCCTAGGAGGGGACCTGCTCTGATACCATGAGAAGAATTGAACGAGAATGAAATGACTATGAACGAAGTGAGTACAAATAGGAAACCCTAATTGTGTTGTACCCCCTATGGGATACCCCACTATAGCCTACACAAACAAGTAAGCTATATGTTCTGACACGCGGGGCCGTTCGGGGGCCGTGAGAGGCTAGCGCGGGGCCGACGGGGGCCTTAGAGAGCTAGCGCGGGGCCGAGGGGGCCGTGAGAGGCTAGCGCGGGGGGCCGTACGGGGCCATTCGGGGCTAGCGCGGGGCCGTTTGGGGGCCTTGAGAGGCTAGCGCGGGGCCGACGGGGGCCTTAGGGGGCTAGCGCGGGGCTAGCGCGGGGCCGACGGGTCCTTAGGGGGCTAGCGCGGGGCCGCATGGGGCCTTGAGAGGCTAGCGCGGGGCCGTAAGGGGCCTTAAGAGGGCGACGCGAGGGGCCCTGGGGGGCCTTAAGAACAAGGCGCTTGAGGCGCAGGAAAAGGCGGCGCACGAGGGCGCGGCTAGCGGAAACGGTGGGCCCTATCGTTTCGGTCCTAGGTGAAACCTAGGCTCGTAATACCATGTCAGAATGAGAAATGGATCACTAGAATGAGGGTTGGGTACAAATAGGTCAAACCTAACCCTAGAAATGTGTACCCACTATAGGCTAACCCACTGTAGCCTAAACAACCACAACATACAATGTTTGACAGGCCCAGTAACCAGGTGCTACGCGAAGGTTATGAGGGTCGCAAAGCGTCCCGAATAGACCCTTCCCAAATTCGGTAGAAGGCAATTCGGTGGCAACCGAAAAGCGGAGAATTCGGTGCACGCAACCTAGCTCGGTGCTAAAACTATAATAAAATATAAGAGAGCACTTAGCCTAGGAAATCAAGCAATTCATGCATGCATAAAGTAAACCTATGCTAGAAATAGCATAATTAAGTTTAGGCAAGCAAGCATAGCTGGCATAAGCCGTCGTACTCTCACAATCCTAGCCTAAACGAGCTTCGTAACGAGCCCCGTAACGCACCCGATAACGTCCCGCCCCATAACGTCCTGTAGCCCGTCCCGACACGCCCACAGTCTGTCCCGTCCCGTCCTGCAGGCCGCCCCATATTGCGCGCAGCCAGCAAAGCACAGCCGCGTGCTTCCCCACAACCGCGTGCGCTCCTACCATCGCACAGCTGCCCGCGCGGCAGCATTCACATAGCTGCCCACGCGGTAGCACCTGCACGCACAGTCGTGCGCAGAGCAGCATTGCACAGCAGCAGTCGCAAACGCGCATGCCAGCGCACGCACACTAGCAGCAGTCGCCGCTACGTACGCAGCATCCGTCGCCGCGAGCGCAGCAGCCACAGCTACGTCCACTGCAGCCCCGCGCAGTAGCCACTGCACCCTGAGTGCCCCTCGCCATTTCGTGCCCTAACCTGCCGCCCGCACGCGTAGCCATACGCGAGCCAACGTGCACGGGTTGAAACGCAGCAACAGCACGCGCATGTGCAGAAACACCATCTGCACGTAACTTCTTCACACGCCACTTCGTTCCCCACTGCTTATTCAACGTGCTAAACCGCACCTCATTGCACTCGACCACACCCGACTGCGCTGGACAGAACTCCACCCCATCCGTACCTGCTGTCTCCCACGAGCCCCCTGCCATAGGTCTTCTTGACGGCTGCTGGCAGCCGCGTTTGACTCTTGTCACATTAGTTAGGGCTAGTGCTGTGTTCCGCCTACCACTCCTAGCCTAGTTCCTCAGTTTGCCCCTGCCTATTGTCGTTCATAGCACCTTCGATGGCGTCCTTTCGGATGTTACGTTTCGATGCCGAGGGCCGTCTAATTGAATTTCGTACGTGCCTTACCCAGGCCTAGTGCCACCTTAAGAGTCAGCGTCAGGATGGCGCCCACCTTTACGCTCACGCATCTAGCGCTCTTCAGACCCCTTAGTCCCCTAGTCCTCTGCCCATTCAGGCTTCTCCCACCGTTGCTCAACAGGCCGATTACGGTAGGCAGTCATTGGCGTGTGATGTGTGGGAGTCTCGCAACGCCGCTGCCTGCAACGTCCTCACCGATCTTCTCCCACCGACCAAGGCCATCCACTTCTCCCAGTGTGACTCGGCTAAGGTCATGTAGGACGCTATTGTTTCTCGCTATAGCACTCCTACCTCTGCCTCGCTCATGCCCTTTGTGTTCCCTGACTTGGGCTCGTTTGAGACTGTCTCCAATCTAGTCACCCACCTCCGCTCTCTTGACGCTAGCTTTCGTGCTGCCTGCACCAATGACAGCTCAAACTGGCCCCACCACCTATGTGGCTCACCCTCCACTGGTTAGTCACTCGCCTCCCTGACCGCCTCTCCTCTGACCATGACGTGCTTCTCTTGAACCACCTCACTAAACTTGCTATCAAGCTTCTTGCATCCACCCTCAGGAATATCGGGAGCAACCTCCTCAGTGTCTGCTTCCACTGCTGCAGTGCCTCCTCGTTTCTTTGACGGGTGTGCTGCACCCCAGCCTCCCACGTTCACTGCATCTCTTGCCACTGTTGCGTTGTCTAGTTCTAAGGAGACTGCAGCCGTTTCGGTCGCTAGTGGGCAGAAACGGGTCAAGGGAGGTAGATGCGGTGGGAAGGGTGGTGGTGGCGGTGGTGATGGAGGTGGTGGTGGTGGTGGTGGTGGTGGTGGTGGTGGTGGTGGTGGTGGTGGTGGTGGTGGTGGTGGTGGTGGTGGTGCTGGTGGTGCTGGTGGTGGTGCTGGTGGTGGTGGTGGTGGTGGTGGTGGTGGTGGTGGTGGTGGTGGTGGTGGAGGTGGTGGTGGCGGAATGATTGGCGGCACTAGTGTGTCTAGTGGAGGGCGGCGGTACTGGAGGTGGTCCTGAGCTGTCGGTCCCAGCGAGTGAGGGTGCTGGAGTAGCTGCTTGGCAAACAACACAGCAGTAGCAGGAGTGAACCCAGCAGCAGCAGCCACAACAGGGATGGCCGCTGCAGCAGGGACAGCCACTACAACACGTTCCATGTCACGTGCAGCAGTAGCCTTAGAAGTGGGGACCTGGTGGACTAGGGAGTGCTACTCGAGGCAGTGGTCCACCCAGCTCGACGTCACGTGGTGTCACCTTTCCACCCTGCCAGTACGTTATTCTGACGGGCACTAGTCAAGGTTACCGCGGTAGTTGCGTTCATACTCTCGGACAGTGCTTTGCGCAGCTTACAGTCCGCATTCGTACACAATACAGTTATGGCCCCGCTCTTGACTAAGCCTCGCTTGCTCGTTTGCGTGGACTTGCTTTTTGGAACATGACTACGGTAGATTTAGTTGAGGCCTTGAACTCAGGTTTCTACTCCATTAGCATTGGCTGATCCTTCTTCAAGACCAGTCATTGCACGCAGCTCTACCACTTTTCAGTCTCCGGCTGTTCCCTCTAGTGTCCTCTCTGGTCTCCACATTCCCTCGTTCTCTCAGAACTTGGTGGGTGTTGGATATCTTCAGGACCGCAACGCCAGCGTCTGGTTTCCTCCTTCTGAGCGTGTTGGGACCTAGGTGGACAATGACAGCTACGCTCCTCTGGCCGAGTTTTGCTGGGAGAAAGGCTCTGGTCTTTTCACACTACACACTGAATCTCCCCAGGTTGCTCCGTCTTGTCAGGTAGCTACGTCCGGTAAGGACGCTGCGTCGTGCTCTTGTCGGTCACTCACTCACTCGACAGTCCTATAGCACCACCGTCTTGGTCATTGGTCCCTCCCACGCCTCCACAGCAAGTCTAGCCAGCACCTTGACTTATATAGCTTGTCTAGGCTAAAATGCGGTAGACACTATGGGGTACATTTTCTTAGGGTTTCCTACTTGTACCCAGCCTTGTGCTAGTTCATTCATTCCTCGTTTCTTCACATGGTATAGAGCAGGCTCCCTAGTGGGAACGCTTCCTTGGGCCCACCACTGATATTTTTTCTGACCGGAGCGTCAGTCGCTCCTGCCCGAGGCGCGCCTTGTTCGCCGCCCCTAACGGCCCCGTCGCCGCCCCTAGCGGCCCCGTCGCCGCCTCTCTCACTACGCGGCCCCGTCGCCGCCCCTACGCGGCCCCGTCGCCGCCCCTAGCGGCCCCGTTGCTGGCCCCTATGCGGCCCCGTCGCCGCCCCTAGCGGCCCCGTCGCCGCCTCTCTACCTACGCGGCCCCGTCGCCGCCCCTACGCGGCCCTATCGCCGCCCCTAGCAGCCCCGTTGCCGCCCCTAGCGGCCCTGTCACCGCTCCCCTTCCTACGCGGCCCCGTCGCCGCCACTACGCGGCCCCGTCGCCGCCTCTAGCGGCCCCGTCGCCGCCCTTAGCGGCCCCATCGCCGCTCCCCTCCCTACGCGGCCCCGTCGCCACCACTACGCGGCCTCGTCGCCGCCCCTACGCGGCCCTGTCGCCGCCCCTAGCGGCCCCGTCTCTGCCCCTAGCGGCCCCGTCGCCGCCACTACGTGGCCCCGTCGCCGCCTCTACGCGACCCAGTAGCCGCCCCTAGCGGCCCCGTTGCCGCTCCCCTCCCTACGCGGCCCCGTCGCCGCCCCTAGCGGCCCCATCGCCGCCTCTGCCGGCCCCATCGCCGCCTCTACCGAGCCACCCACCAGCTGAGCCGCCCAACAGCCGAGCCGCCGAGCCGCCGAGCAGCCGAGCCGCCGAGCCGCCCAGCAACCAAGCCACCAAGCCGCTTGACAGCCGAGCCGCCCAACAGCCGAGCCGCCAAGCCGCCCAGCAGCTGAGGCGCCGAGCCGGCAAGGGCAAGGGAGGCAAGGGCGCTGGAGGGGCTGGCGGGGGCGGTGGAGGTGGTGGTGGAGGCAGTGGAGGGGGTGGGGGTGGTCGTGGGAGTGGTGGCGGGGGTGGAGGTGTCGGTGGCAGCAGTGGAGGCAGAGGAGGCGGCGGCGCTGGCGGAGAGAGCGGAGGCGGCGGAGTGGCGAAGGCAGCGGAGGTGGCGGAGGCAGCGGAGGTGGCGGAGGCGGCGGCGGCAGCGGTGGAGCTAGTCGTGGCTCTGCGCAGAGAAGTGGGTCTGGTGGTGGTCCGTGCCAGCAGCAGCAGCGCAGTCGTAAGACCCTATTCCCTCAGCAGCTTCGTGAGTGGTACGCTGCGCCCCAGCGCGGTGGGGGTACTAGTCCCTGCACCTACGTCCTCTGTACCGGCGACCAAGCTGGTGAGCAGTGCGGGGGCCCGCACTCCACCCAGCGCTACTGCGGCCGCCTGACGGACGCGTGGCGTCACCTGTTCCCTGGGGCCTCTGAGATCCGTCGCTGGGGAGAGCTGTTCAGGGCGGGGGTTGCTATCTTTGATCTTGACTTTGATGCTATTCTTGCTGCCATGTATGCTGTCGCTGATACTGTTGAGGGTGACTGTTACCTGTGTGTTCCGCCTAACCCGGGCATTGAGCCTGCTGCTCTAGGTGCTGGTGAGGCTGCTGCTCTAGGTGCTAGCGCGTCTGCTGCCCCAGGTGCTGGTGAGACTGCCCTCTCAGGTACCATGTCGGCTTAGGCCTCACACAAAATCACCCTTGACTCGGATGCTTCCCGCTCCTTCTTTCGAGACCGCACCACACTTACGCCGCTTAGTCGCCCGGTTGCGGTCTCCCTTGCAAACCCCTCTGGGGGTCCTGTCCTTGCTCGCTTCTCCACTGACTTACCGTGTTCGGCAGCCCCTCTGGCACCCTATCAAGTCTCTACCTCCCCTTGTTCTCTACGAACTTGGTGAGTGGAGCTGATCTACAGGATAGGGGGGTTGTCTAGTTCACTCCTGCGAGACAGCGGGTTACCCATTGCATATGTGCTCGGACAAGCCGACACTTGGCCACGTTCACCCGTCGGCCGGGGCCGAGCTTGTACACCCTCACTACTGAGTGTCCTCTGGCTGCTGAGACTAGTCAAGTCGATGCGTTGAGTCAGGTGTTTGCTGCAGCGTCCAGGTCTAGTCCTGAGTCTGCTCCCTGCTCGTGTCGTCTCCTGTCTCACCAGACTCTCCTTTGGCACCACCGCCTTGGTCACCCCTCTCTGCCTCGTCTCCGAGGCATGGCCTCCCGTGTCCTTGTCTCTGATCTCCCCCGGTCTCTCCCTCCCCTACCTCCGGGGCCTGCCCCTACCTGCGACACCTGCGTCAAGGGGCGAGAGCGCGCCGCCCCTCACTCCTCCGAGTTTCCTCCGACAGAGGCTCCGTTGCAGACTCTTCACATGGACATTTGGGGCCCCGCCCGCGTCCGTGGCCAGGGGCACGAGCGTTACTTCCTGTTGGTGGTTGACGACTACTCGCGTTACACCACGGTCTTCCCCTTGCGCAGCAAGGGTGAAGTCACTGAGGTGTTGATCGACTGGATCCGCCGGCTCGTCTCCAGCTCAGATAGAGTTTCGGCTCGGACTTTCCTGTTCTGCGTCTGCACTCTGACAGAGGCGGGGAGTTTTCCTGTGCCCGTCTGGGAGCCTTCTGTCGTGCACACGGGATCCGCTAGACCTTCACGCTATCGGCCTCTCCACAGCAAAATGGGATTGATGAGCGCCGCATTGGCATGGTCATGGACGTCGCTCGTACGTCCATGATCCATGCGGCTGCCCCCCATTTTCTGTGGCCGTTTGCGGTTCAGTACACAGCGCATCAGTCCAACCTTCAGCCCGGGTCTCCTTGCCAGAGACCTCCCCCACCTTGCGGTGGATGGGGAAAGTTGGCGATGTGTGTGCGTTTTGGGTGTGGGGATCTCGGGCGTTTGTCCGCGACTTGTCTGCAGACAAGCTGTACCCTCGTGCTGTTCCCTGCGTCTTCCTTGGCTTCCCTCCTGACGTGCCTAGGTGGCAGTTTTACCACCCCACCTCGCGACGTGTTCTGTCTTCCCTGGACGTCACCTTTGACGAGTCGATGCCTTACTACCGTCTCTTCCCCTACCGCACTGCGCCCCTCCTCTCGCCGCCGCTGTGAGAGTACGACGGCTTATGCGAGCTATGCTTGCTTGCCTCTACTTTATCATGCTATTTCTAGCATAGGATAATCATATGCATGCATGAACTGCTTGATTTCCTAGGCTAGGTGCTTTCCTATATTTTATTATAGTTATAGCACTGAGCTAGGTTGCGTGCACCGAATTCTGGCTTTTCGGTTGCCACCGAATTGCCTTCTACCGGATTCGGTAAGGATCTGTTCGGGATGCTTCGCGACCCGCGGAACCTTCGCGTAACACCTGGTTACGGGGCCTTGTGTCGAGCCTATATATAGCCTCGTGTTGTACCCAGGTGGACATTCAATTCAATTTGATCGTCTTTTCTGAGCTCGATCCCAGATCCTTACACTTGGTAATCAGAGCGGGTTTACACGCGAGGTCTTCAACCGCTTAGTTCCGGCCTTTAAAAACCGGGGGGGCGACGACGAAAGCGCCGATACGGGTATGTAAAACTTGTTCCGCACAATTTTTCTAAGTCCCCCTCGATTCGGTTTTCGAACACCCCTCAGATTTACTGGTGGAAAGGTTGGAGTTTCGACCGTTTGATCGAGTTTCATCACAACGGCCTAGAGAATTTCGCCCAAAAAAGTTGGAATTTGGAGCGTCGGATCGATTTTCTCCTCAACGGCCAAGATCGGACGCGAATTTCGCCTAAGGGAGATTTACGCAACCTACAGAATTCGCGCTCGTCGATTCTTCAGTCAATTTGACTCGCAGTAAGTCGACCAGCACCTAGAATTCGATTATTTTCGTCGCGCATCTTCTTGTAAATCACCAAATGGAGGGAAAAGGAGATATTTTGGTACAGAAAATCGCGGAGTTACGTGCTGAGCATAAGCAAATACGTGCAGCGCTCCCATGACTCGAAAAACTCCTTGCGAACCAGTCGGCAACCGCCACAGCAGCAGCGACAACAGTAGCAGCAGCACCAGCAGCG